GTGCCGGAATGGCTGCAAAGCTAACGCTAGTGGCCAGCTAAGCTGTACTCTCAAGTGCTTCGCCCAGTGTGCCAGACGTCGCTGTTGCTTATGAATCGCCAAGCTGTCGGCTTCATAGACCATTTCGCCCACACCCAAAGCCTCAGCATGGTCGGGGGTGGGTGTCTAGGGTTGCGGCTGACCATCCTTCCCTTGCACCACATGAAATGCTCCCATACGACCAAGAGTCTCTAACAGCCTCTGCTGAGGAAGCCCTACTCACTACCTTCTCGTTGCGGAGGTGTTTTTCCACTAAAATAAGAGGACAAAAGGCCGACATCCGGGACTGTAACCGGGCTGGTGGACCACCTAGGGATGTTGGTCAATAACCCTGATTCCGAACAAACTAAGAAGAGGTGTACGAACCACACTCACCCACATCCTCCTCGGTGTGGCAATGGTCACCGGCTTAGTTAGGCATCGAGGTGTATTGGGCACCTTGGACGTTTGGTCCCGTTTAAGGGACGTATGATCCAATGCACTGGACACGGGCTCCCGATGGATTGCGGTTTGTACACCTGCCCGCTGCCTTGCGGGTCAGGCTTTGGCCAGCCGAAGGTTCTGGTTGTGGATTCCTCAAGAAAATTCACCTGCCTTGGCCTGGGCAACCTAGCAGTATTCAGCCTACATGCAAATCATGGAACGTTTTCCTTTTTTTCATACCGTGATTGGTTTGGCACAGTCTGGTGTCAGACGTGTGTGAAAAAAACCAAAACTTTACTACCAGCAGTAGACAGAATGAAATGCAACTTGTAAATACATTTAACCTCAGCGCAAGCGTACGGAGAAACCGTGAGATCTGCTGGATTGAAGGCATCTCTGTAGAGATGGAACATACGGCCGCCATGCGAAGTCCTGTAGGCTATCTCATCTCGTCGGAGTCACTGACAACACAAAATATATCGAACGCTTATGGTGAAACAAACTAAAAAAAATGCGTTCTCGTATGTTCTAGGACGGTTTAACACAAATTTCACGAACCTGGTTTTGCTGTTGGATTTCTGAGAGTACAACTAGTGTGAGAATTCCAAAGTGAGATATTTCTCACTGAGTGGGTCTATTGTAGGTGCTCAAACAAATGCTCACTGCGCTCACCATCCGACTGTACTGGATGGTACTATCTACCGGAGGCGCTGTCGTCACGGATTAACGTCAAACACAAAGAGTTCCCAACATGTGCACACTCGCGCACTTACTTTGCAACTTGGTGCCTGATCCGTGGCGACTAATTGTCTATGTGCATCTCCTGGGCTGCTTACTCTTAATAACTCTCCATTCTTTCTACCCCAGCTTTTTATATAGAATCATTCTTTTTTCTGGTGCAAATCCCTTACTTACCGGAGAGTATTAGATTGCCAGGTTTTAGAAAATGGAAAAAGAGTGCAAATAAAGTGATAACTAACTTCATTGTTCAGCTGGTCCACGAGAACCAGGTAACGAATGTCGAATCATGCGATGAACCAAATGTTTGGGAACGCACTTCGTCAGCGCCGGAAAATTCAACTGTAGTCAGCGTATTCATAAGAGCAGGTTTTGGTGTAAACCGTCGATTACTGGACAGAGACTGCTTCAATTTATTGTCTTCGATCTACTTTTTCTTTTTAGTTTTACTTCCTTTTATTGAATACACTGAATGATACAATTTTCAGGAAGAGGGGGAAGCGGCCAATCAAACGGGGCTGCCATACAGCACACATGGGGAAAGTCAGGCAGTGGTGGGATTCGAACACTCTGCGGGGATAGCAAATTTTTAGTTTTACAGTTTTGCAATAAACAATGATTTTTCAATCAACGTCAGCAGGCTATTTTTTTTCGAATGCAGAAAAGTGAAATCGATTCCTGAGTAAATTGTGCGCGAACGATGCACGTTACAAAACAGACAGGGTTTTCATACCGTCCGTCAATCCGCTTCTGTTTTCTGTTATTCAAAGGTGGCTTTATATTACTCTTTTGATGATATATTCCAAATCTGTTTTTCTCTAGAGTTAGGCTATATTAAACACTCATCATATGTAAATAAACAAAATCAGGTTCCTACTCATCAGTGGTTTTCTCTTGAAGTCAATTAAGAAATGTTATCTCGCGGCGTTGCCCTATCTGTTCTTCTTTTCTCTATATTTGATATGATCTCGAGAATTATGCCTTCCTCGTTTGGGAAAAAATCTTGAACCTCTCAGAAACCGAAAGTACTAGTGATGAAACGTGAGTTTTTATCAAGTCTCTGCTTAAAAGATTCAAAAGTTGGTGCACGAACGGTGTAAGGTGAGAGAGCGTTCCAAGTGGTGCACACTAACGATAAACTGATGGCTTCCGGTGTTTCGGAGTACCAGCTTGAAATGACGTCCCTCGAAGCGAATGTTGGGCGATAACGTAGGCAGTAAGCGACATGTATGATTTGGGTTCTGTAGGATTTTGTATACAACATCCAAGTTTCCTCATATTTGGCAGTATTGAGTGAAATATAAACCCAGTGCATGTATTCTGTTCAAATAGGTGAGAAAATGCTATCCTTTGGCAATCTTGGTGAATATCCTTTGTGGCCGTTTTAGCTTCCAGTGGAGGTACTTTCTAGAGTTGCTTTTCAGCTTTTCACAGTAAAGAATACCAGAACGTCCCATAATAATTAATTTTATGGCCCACGACAGATGCGGACTAATCTGTCGCGCACTAATATTTCATTTAAGCCATTAAGTACGGCAATTGATTGTATCGTTGCTACTCCTTGTTGTAACACATCGGCAGCATATAAAACTGGTTTAACCTAGAAATACAGACCGTAAAATATGGGCTTTTGTTTCTCAGAGATTTTTAAAACTTTTGAAGTTGTTTTCATCACTAGATATCAAATCAAATTCAATTATCAGTGATATCATCTGTTGCCCTAAATAACCACCTTCAGTTAAATTGCGCTCGTGAAAGTGCTTGGTTATTGGTTGTTCAAACAGAAACCTTGCATCTCTAGAGTGACCTTAATGTCGATTTGGATGTGCGATTTTTTCCTGAGTGATAGTCTTTGCTTTGCTTGGATGAAAGCAATGTCAGTCATCTCACTACAGGTTAACGTTTCATCTTTTCCGACCCGTGCGTTTGTGGTGATTTGTTCGCCTACTCACACAGCGTTCCGATTAATTCAGCTGAAATGACTAGTCCTGAAAAGAGTGAGAAGCGCACCGACTACCTGAGTTGGGACGAATATTTCATGTCCGTCGCGTTACTGTCCGCCATGCGCAGCAAAGACCCAGCAACACAAGTGAGTGTATGGTTCAGTCCTTTCCGGAATTTCACAGTGACTCGCTGAATGTGCATTTGTTTACCTACCAGAAATGGTGTGAAGTGACCTTTATTTGTTTTTATCTTTCGGACTAAAACTAATGTGCAAAAGTTCACAATGCTACAGAAAAAGAAACTACTTTTGTTTGATTAATGGCCTCATTTTAAATGCATTCATTTATCATTAGAAAACTGACAAGGTGCACTTAAATTTGACCGGTAAAGCTGTGGTGGTTTTCAGTGGCCCCGTATAGTGCATGATAATCTATCAATATGAGTATAACCGCCGTTATATTCCTCTAGCCGTTGAGCCTTATGAAGACTTTCATGTTCAGCCACCTGACAAAAAAATATCGTTTCATAAAGCATCTTATATCCCAATTGTTCTGATTTGAACAATGTAGTTTTGTGTTTTCTACCCTAGGTAGGCGCGTGCATCACCAATCAAGAGAAAAAGATTGTGGGCATCGGATATAACGGCATGCCAATTGGGCTTTCAGATGACGAAATGCCTTGGGGGAAAACATCTGAAAACCAATTGGAAAATAAGTACTTTTACGGTGAGTAGTTTTTCGCTCCAATCGAGTTAGTGTGTAGTCTGCCACGCTGAATTAAATGCTGTACTTAACCGAAACCATGCGACATCTTCCGGATGCACCCTGTATGCAAGTATGTTTCCGTGCAACGAATGTGCCAAAGTATTGATACAAGCCGGTATAAAAGAAGTGGTCTATTTTGCCGACAAGAAAAAAGGCACTCCAGCGAACGAAGCCTCCAAGCATATGCTGAAAAAGGCCGGCGTTCAACTCCGGTAGGTTGTTGGTTTTTCTGAATCGGATAATCTATGCATTTCACAGGCAATTCAAACCGACCGGCCGCCAGATATGCATCGATTTAAGTCATATATCAGATAGTGATTGATGAAATGTGTAAGCGCCCACTCTCTGTCACATATGTATATTTTAATGAAAATGCTTTGTCTACTGATCACATGGTTTTTCACTGTACTTAGGGGAGGGGAGTTGACATGAACGGGCAGAGATAACCGAAAGCTGATTATCTCCTAGTGTGCTTTTTTAACTCAACCTTAGAGTTGGTAGCAACTGTTCGGTATTCCAGATCTCACGTGGGAATGATGAACTTAATTAGCTCAAGTCCTGTCTTTGACTCAGATAGCACGAGTGACTCAGTCCAAAAAGCAGTGATGGGCGAAGCGAAATCTATGGACTTGTAGGTGCGCTTAAGTTTCTTATGATGTCAGTATCCTGAATTTGAGTCTCCACATGCAACAGATATCAATTGCCCTGCTTTTGGTCTTCAACTCCATCTATCACTCTGTCCAGTGAACTTATTTGCTAAGATCCGAAATACCCGGAGAAGTATGTCCTGCTTTCAAAAGCAGTCCACCGTTAGACCTCGGGAAAGCGAAGGCCTATGCTGAATTCTCACACTAGTTTTCTGTCACCAGCTGGGTACGATAGGGTTGCCTTGTTTCTCTGTTTCTCTCCAATTTTGCCATTGATGATGTTCTGTTAACAGCATTACTTAAGGTAATCAACACTGGGATTGAGCTTCTTACTGGAGACGGTTGCAGGCTTGGGGTATGCTGGTGATAGTGCCATACACAGTGGTAACACACCGGCTATTCAAAACACGCTGAATCGCTTACTAATTGTGCTTACTCTTTATGGTATATCCGTTGCACCTTCGAAGTGTGAGGTGTTGTTGCACGATTGGCAGGAACTTGTTTCTGCACCATTGTTGGGTGATGACATTCTGAAAGTCATTATCATCATCATCGTACAACGAAATACAGGGAAGCGAACTTCACTAATAGCTGCCATAGTCGCCATGCATGCAGCGTTAGTGGTAATGTTCAAGGTGGACAGGGATTGGACCTATTTTGCGGGACGTGGTAGAAGGTGAACCTTTANGGTCAACACAGAGCCACTGCTGTCTGTTGGCTGCTACATCCTTCAATGTCTCCAATCCACCGCTTGCGGAGTCTTTCGGACCCCAACCTCAAAGGCGTGATACACCTACTCTACCTAGTCGTTCTGTGCATGTCTTCATGCCTCATCTCCAATCCATCTGTTGACTTTCACGTGATTGCCTCCAAACCGGAGCGGCTACAGCGAATAAAGCGCGGTGCGGTAGATGACAGCTGGGCATACAGCATACGTACCCTAGCTAGCGAAGTCTGCTAATCTGAACTCGATGTGCTAGCAGTTTTATCCCTGATAGACCCCCAAACACACGACCGTTTACCTCCAAATTACTAACCCGATCGCTCCACCCCACGTGGAATTAAGTAAACGCCGATAATCGAAAACTTCTAGTCGATAGATGTCTTCTACTCACAAATTCAAGGTATTACAACCATGAAGCTGAACTGAACGATCGGTAGCACAATGTACACGATCTTTCAACCTCAATGAAACGTCGCGTCTACGTCAAAAGTTATTCAATCCTGCGTATGCTGCTTGAGCCTTGGCGATGTGGTCGGCTATCTTCTTTGCTGTGCTACCGTCGTTGATCACGCAACTACATACGTAGGGAAAGCAATCCACATAGACAAGTCAAGTAAAGCTTCATGCACCCAGTAGGATGAATTTTCAGCACTTTCGATAAGTTACAGTGAGGAAAACGTCAAGTATTGGAAAAAGAACAAATATACATTTACTAAATGAAAAATAAACTGATTAAATGAAATCCTAATGTGACAGATGATTATTCAAGTCAGTAATAATATTTGTTCGGTTGAACAAGATATGAGCAAAATAAGGGATCATGCTGTTTTTGTATGTGGTAGTGCGTGCACAAAGAATCCGATATTTGGAACGGGTACTCCGATGTGACTCCGATTTATTGAGATGGGAGTGCAGGCAGTGTTCTTCATTCGACAGGATATGGCTGATAAATCGATCGCATGAATCAAAATGCTTGACCACAAATCAAAACGGTCTTTGAAATGCCGCTGCAACGAGAAAGAAGTTTAAGAGATCTGGAAAAGAGAATAAAGTCTTTTGTCTTTAGATCAGGAAAACATACGAGGGAACAGTACAACCAGTGTGGAAGATTGCATACAGTCACAAATTTAAGAATTACATTTATGGGAACGCCGAGCTTTTTAAGCCTAAGGGCGTAGAGGAATAGCCTACGAACCCTGATATAAATGTTTTCAACATGTTTGGACCAAGAAAGATTGTGTGACAAAGTAACTCCAAGATATTTCACAGAGTTAGGTTTGAGGATGGTATTACCAATAAGAGAAAGCTCAGGCTGATTGCTCAAAACTGTTTGATAAGGCATGCCTATTTCAAGGCTAAAAAAATCGGCTGAACATTTATTTACATTTAGCAATAAAGATCGGGGAGTCGACCAACTAAAAATGTTATTGAGACAAACTTGAAGTTGAGAGAAACATTCAGGAACAGTCGAGGAACAACCGACCACTACATCATCCGCAAACTGGCAGGCTATAAAGTTGGGAGGGATGGGAAGGTCCTTAATATACAGTGAAAAAGAAATGGAGACAAAATTGCACCCTGAAAAACTCCAGAGTTAACTTCTAGAAGGGAGGAAGATTTACTGTTACAAAAAGTGTATTGCGTCCAGTGAGTGAAGTAATTAATTAGTACATTCAGCAAATTAGGTGCCAGACCACAATCCGAAAGACGTTGAATGAGAGTGCCGCGGTCAAGCGACCCGGCCATTTAGTTTCAGAGCGGGGTTAGGCGACACCCAGTCCTGTAGCATCACTTTCCACTTTGAAGGTACAAAGCACGTACTAACTGTGGCAACAGCACTTACCAGTCTATCAAGTGCATTTTGAGCGTCTTTAAAATATTCGAACAGAGACGAGTTCATCGGCGTATTCCAAATTGCACAGCTTTTCTCCAGCTTCCCATTCAATACCTACGTTTTGGAGACCACTTAGTGTGTTCTCCGGTATTTCGTCTACGACGAAAACGAACAAGAATGGTGAAGGAGTCCACGCTTGACAAATGCCACTGCTGGTGACGAACGGCCTAGTCAGTTCGCTGTAAACCCCCACTCGAACAGAAGTATGTGAGTACAGTGACCTCAGTAAGTTAACATACTTCTGAGGCGTTCCTATTCGAAGAAGGGAACCCTTCGAAGCTTCGTGTTCAACTGAGTCGAGGGCTTCTTTCAGGTCGAGGAAAACTGCGATCGTTGGTCGACGATGTGTGTGATGCAGCTCCAGGACCTGACGCAACGTAAAAATTTGAGCAATGCATTGGGGGCCAGGCCAGAATCTGACATTTTGTTCTCTTAACGGATGTCGAAGTATGACGGAAGGCCAGCACTTTGGTGATGATTGGGATCAAACTTATCCCGCGATGGTTTTCACGATCGTTGCGTGGTCCTTTATGGAAAATGAAAACGATCAGTGGTTCGCCCCAAGATAAAGGAGTGCTCTCTGGCGTACAAACTTTGAGCATCCAGGTAGTGGTGGAGCTTAGAAGGTTGTCACGCCCCATCTTGAAAAAAGTGGGAGGAAGCCCATCCGTACCTATTGCCTTTCCTCGCTTGGGAGCTTGAATGCAAGACCGAACTTTCGCATCTACCGGAGAATCGCACGACCTTGCACACTGAGCTTCAGTTACAGATAAAGTGACCTGGCTAGCACCAGGCCAGCTGAACCGTTACCTGAATTATTCTACCCAGCAACCAAGTCGTTGATCGCTATTGTGAAAGGCTTATCCCTTTTATTGCACACTGTTTCACAAACTGGAGTTCGCTGACCTCTCGTATTGCCTATCATTCGGAATAGTCGTTGACTATTCCCTAATCCAGTTGCTACTTTCATTTCACTAGCTTTTATTGACCACCAGTTTTCACGGTCCTTCTTGACGCTATTCGTGAGCTGACGTTTCAGATGCCACCTATCTCTGTTTTCATCCTGGCAAGTCGGGGTTTGTCGTTTCTCAATCAGGGCTACTGGCTCATGAGATATCCAATGCCTCTGACGGGCTTGAGGCTCAGATCCACAAGCAACATTCGCTGCGGAATGCATTGTTCGTCTGATCCGATCCCTCAACTTTTCTACATCACCACATTGAAGCGCGATGACCTCACGCATTAGCTCTGACTCATAGGGTGCACGAACTCCTGGAACAGACGGCCGATGATGAACCATTCGAGTTTGCTGGTTTCGTTGCCGGTCAGTCAATCGGAGAGTGTACTGCATCAAAACGAATGCGTGGTCAGACTCAACACAGGTGATCTAATAGGATCCGCAATTTTGCATTGAGCCACGCCAATGGTAGCTTACTGTCATGTGGTTGATTTTAGCTAGCGTACCAGTTGCACTGAAGCGCCACCTTGCCGTCCGGTGAGAGCCGTGTCGGAAGTTGGTACTGAATAGGAACAGATAATGATCTGCGCAGAACTGAGGAAGACGATCGTCGTTATCTGTTCGTTGGCAGGGCAGAGCACAACTACTAAATAGGCAAGCTTCTGATGCGCCCAATTTTCCAACTTTCGCGTTAGTCACCTACAAGTACAAATATGTAGGGGCTTCGACTCAACCGAATGATATTGGTGAGGTCACCGTAGAAGGCGTCTTTTTGGGTATCAGAACTAAAATTAGTCGGTGCATATGCCGATATGAAGAACAAACGCATTTTGGTGTTGCTTCCCTTCCGGACGTGAATTGATTCCTGGAGACGCATTGCACATAAACGACTGTTGGCGGGGATCGAATCAATAAGAGCGGACTCAGCCTGGTCACTGGGTACAACACGTACCCCGCGCTGAACTCCAGAACGGGCCTCATCGTCGCCTGGTGTGCGAAGAACGTACCTCAAGGAGAAATCTTAGGCGCTCAATTGGCGTATAGTAGGAGGTTCTCGAATTCGAGTCTCCGACACGCAGAAAATATCGATCTCTAAGGATTTCATTGTACGTGCCAGACAAGCTTGTTGACCTACCTGCATCAGAGTCCTCACGTTGAAGACCCTCAACTTCAGTGATTGACGAGGCTCTAGAATCTGTAATCCATTTCGATGTAAATTACTTACAGTGCTATTTGACAACGACCTTTGGCGGGCGTCATCCAAATTACTTGAGGAATTATTGCCGGTCGGACAAAGAGGCAACTGGACAACGCTGGGTACGGAAAACAGAGTTAAACCAAGGTTAGGATATCTGAGCAGTAGTCTACTTATCACCACCCAATCCGCTCGATGTAACAGGCAGCGCGGTTCTGGTTATCCTGCGCGACGATCGATACAGTATGGAATTATTTTTAGTTTGTTGATCGATTGAGGTCTGGTGGGCGGGTATTGCTAGGGTGTCCAGCCACAATACAGGAGAACGATTAGGAATCTTGTCCAAAGCTTTTTGTTCTGACAAGAGCTGAACCGCAAGGAAGCGAGTGAAGCGAA